AAAGAGGGCGGGCGATGAGGAGGAGAAGTTGGTGGGAACTCGGCTCCTCTGCAGACCGTGGCCATGCCCTCAGGGCTGGCTCCAGGGCTGCCTTCAAGGCCCGTGGTGCTCATGCACAGGCAGGTGATCCACGGGCTTTAGCAGAAGAGATTGCCACGTCCCAGAGTCCCACAGAGCCCACGGCCCAGCCCTGACCACCCAAAGCCCCCCAGGCCCAGGGAGCCCCCAGCGCCGATGGGCACACTGCCGGCGCTGAGAGAGCTCCCCACGGCAGCGGACGCTGTGGATCCCACGGCTGTGCTCTGAGGGAAGGAGCTGAGGATTGGGCCCGGCAGCGTCACCACGACCGGTGGGGGCTGGATCGCAACGCTGGAGTCGGCACAACGAAGAACACACGGCTCGTTGCAGCTGTTGGCAAGCGGGGCTGGGCCGCAGGCGGCTGTCTGGCACGGGCTGTAGCACGACATGTCTGGCGGAGGAGGGGGTGACTCTGCAAGATGGAGGCGAGAGAGAGCTGAGGGCTCGAGCTGTCTCTCAGCGTGCTCTGGTGTCACGAGCCAAGAGTTGAAGGCCCTGCCGTGGCTGCTGAGGGTCTGTTTGTGAGTATTTGGGTAGGCTTGGGGTGGGTACTTGTGGGTAGTTTAGGGATGATGCCAGGGAGGGAAGCTCCGCCTGTCACCTGGGTGAAGCTCCTGTGCGGCCTGTCTTGTCCCTCCCCCAGCGTGCCCAGTGCAGGCCCTCTCCAACCCGCGCTTGCTCCCTGACCAAGGGTCCGTGTCCAGCCTGCAAGGACGTTTCCCTCACAACGCACAACCATCATTCTAGTCAGCCTCGAAGGCTGGCCTGGAACGTTCAGCTGTGAGATGAGGCTCCTCATCTCACCACATCCTGAGGTAGGTATGACGAAGAGGATGCCAACTCTTTCAGGGGGGATGAGTTTATCCTTGCTGCTATTGCCTCAGTCGGGGAAAGAAAGATGTTCTACGGTACAACAGAAAAGCATCACTCTCAGCATCAATCTGTGGAGGTCCTGCTCGGGAGCCCTTCTTCCCTGCTGGTGGTTACTTGTTCTTCCAGAGGAAGACCTCAGCTTGTTCCCTCAACAGCTTTTCCCTCTAAAAAGAGCTCTCCTTCTCCTCTGACAGCTCCGCCCTTCTGTCCCCCTCACTCCCCCTGCTTCTTTCAGAAGGAGACAAGTGCGGGCAAAGCGCGACAAGGCTACTGAAGACAGACGCCACCAAGTGCTAAGACGTCTCTGGTGGGACTAGCTCTCCTGAGGAAATTCCAAGCCGTGCTACTAAGGCAAAAGGTGCATCGCTGCCTGAAGGATGGTGGAAGAAGAGGCTGGCCGAGGCTCTGGTTAGAAATTTCTGGCCGCACAGCCAGGGCCTGAAACGGCTTTCAAAGGAACCCTCCAACGCCCCGCTTCAGGTGAAAAAGCCACGCTCCCCAGTTCCCTTCCCCAAATACAGACAGGCATGGTTGACAGTCCCAGACCGCTTGCGGAGGACAAGGCAGGAAAAATGCACACAGCCCCCTCCTTGGGAGGCGTTCTGACCACGAGCAGACAGAAGGCAAAGCGAACGCGGACTTACTGGCTTCACAGAGGAGAGCAAGGCCCAAGCAGGGAATAGAGTAGCTGGGAAACGAGGCACCTATTTATACTGAGCCTGATGGCCCCGAGGGAGCTGAAGTGGCAAAAACACAGAGCGCCTTCAGAAAGGGTAATTTTGGCTTCCCAAGCTCTGCTGGTAGATGAAAGACATTCCTCCTTCACCTGAAATGCTTAGCTCCCTTGTCACGCTGCGTAAGGCTGAAGCGATCTGCTTGATAGCAGTTCTGTTTCTTCCTCAGGCCGATGCTCGTGAGAGGTCTCGTTGCCAGTGCTGGTGAAGACTTGCAGAAGAATCAGGCCGTGCGCAGGTGCGGTACACGTCCTCCCCTTCCCGAAGGGCGTGGCCCCCGCTTGGTAGGACTTTGCGCGTGGAGCACTGCAGAAGGGAACGCACAAGCAAGTGCAAGACGCAGTGATGGGCTGGGCCTGACCCTGAGCAAGAGCGGTGCCGGCAGGCTACGGAGGAGCTCAGAGCACAGGCAAGCGTCTGCAGGAGACTCAGCTGCCCGGCCGAGGGTGGAAGGTGATGTTCAGCCCAGGCCCCTAGTGATCTGGAGAGAAACTTCATGGCGCGTATGCAGGGAGGGAGACATCGAGAGCGTAGCTGGGGTGGGTCAGGCCGCTCCATGGCGAGTCGCTGCTCCCCCCGGCCGTGATGACGCACACGCTTTCCTGACCTGCAAAGGCTTCCAGCTGTTTCCTTTATTCGGGCAAGGTCAGAGTGTTTTCTGTGGGCAGGGCACGGGCTGTGCCTTACCAAACTGGATTTACTCATTTCACGCCTGGGGAGAGGCTGGAGCACCAGGAGGCCGTGATGAAGGAGGGAGGGAGGCTGCTGAGTCATGCCTGGAAGTGGGCCACCACCAAGTGGGTCTGCTTCAGCATTCCCTTGCCAGGCCACATCGGCCTGTGGCCCTTTCCCTAGTTGCTTGTTTTTCCAGCCGTGCACCCAGAGAACCTGGCTTCCTCTCTCTTGGCAGGGGACAGAGAGGCGCAGGTAGTGCCTTGTAATTGCAAGGTGGCCCTAGCAGGCCACCTGCGACTGACCAGGAGGTGCTGAGCCACTGTTAGGAGCTTCTGCTCCACCTCACTCTCAGTCATCCTTCCACACGTTGGCGTCAGGGATACTGAGGGAAAAGAACTGAGACATGCTAAGGGCTCTCGGCACAACCTCACGTCCTCGTTCCTGCAGAAATGCAGCTTTTTGCACCGTGTTGTCACAGCCATTGGCATCTTGCCCGACCACTTGGCAGTGCCTTGAAATGCTCTCATGCTCCTCTTGGTGAAAGAACAGTCAAAGGAGGACGGCAGCAACGGGCCCTGATGCCCGTACTCCTGTCTCCCTCAGAATGTTTAGGCAGGGAGGTGGTTTGAGAGTAGTTGACTTCTGTTGCCATGGTGGGTTGCTCTCCTTCCAAGCAAGTCTTCCCCCTGTATCAGTACCCAATGCTTTGCTGAAGTCCGGCTAAACAACCTCCACAGCCTTTTCCTCGCCCACCCTGCTGGCCTTCTAGGATAGCTGGAGGGAGCTCAGGTTAGTGAAGCAGGAGCTGCCGTGCGTAGAAAGGTGTGCTGACTGGGTGTGACCATTGTGTTGTCCTCGACGTGCCGTGTGATGGCACTCAAGACAATGTGCTCCGTGACCTTCCCTTGTACCAAAGTCAGACGGAAAGCGTGTAACTCATCAGAGAGTCATAGAATCACGTGAGTTGGAAGGGACCTTTTTAAGGGTCACCTAGTCCAAGTCCACTGCAATCAACAGGGACATCCAAAGCTCGATCGGGTGCTCAGAGCCCCGTCCAGCCTGACCTTTATCTGACATTCTTTTACCGTCAGTAGTACGTTTGTTCTCTCTCCTTATGTTCATTGGGTAGACTCTTCCGTCTGCTTCTTTGTGCCAGTTGGGCGGTCGATCACATAGTCCTGTCACAATTTCTGCCACGTTGGTCTTTTGCCTGACTCCTGCGCAGCGACGCTTGGCCCCTTTCATCACTAAGACAACTAAGTTGCATCCAGTCAAGCCGTCCTGTAACGCAGAGGGCTCCCTTGCCTCCTGTGCTTCCCTGCCTGTGTCTGCACTCCGGTCATGAAAGCCATCCCACCACGTCTCGCTGAGGCCTACGATCTCGTAGTCCTGAGCGTGGGCTAAAAATTCCCGTTCCCCCCTGCTTATTTCTCCTGACACGTGCATTTGTAGCGAGGCATTGAAGTTGGCCCCTGAATGAAATGGAGTGGTGTCGCTGCGGCCCAGCGATAGTTGCGGACGTCCATCTCAACACCAAAACCCACTGTTTCGCAGTGAGGGTGGACAAAGAATGGAAAGGATGGCCCCGAGAAGCTGTGGAGTTGTCATCCTCTGAGATACTGAAACCTGACTGCACTACGTCCCCACCGACCAGCTCAAGTGGATCTTGCTTCAGCAGGTGGCTCGGACTGGCAAGTCTCAACAGGTTCCTTCCAACCTCCACAGTTCTGCTACTCCGTGTTACTTCTGCTACTCTTTCTGCTCTGCTTGGTTAATTTTTCTCCGGCGCAACGCACGCACACACAGACACGCAAAACCGACAAACAAACAATCAACATCAACAAAAAAAGACAAAACGAAGCAATCCACAGGCCGTGGGGCTGGGACCAGAAGCACTTTCATGCGCGTCTCTCCCAGGCACCGTTCCTGTTCCAGCCTTGCTCTTGCCTTCTCAACCCATAGGCTTGTGATTGTCCTGGGAAGAGATGGATCACGACGTTACTCGGCTTCCCCCGCGAAAGAGAATTTGCTCCTTTCCAAGTAGCTCTGTCAAGCTCAGGCGTTTCTTCCTTGGACCAATTCTCCTCTTTGTGAAGGAGACGGTAAACGGACTCAGTGTCTTTCTCCCTCCCAAAACGGAGTGCGGGAGATAGCCTGCTTCACGCCTCCCGGCTTTCCGTGTGTGTCACGGGACAGCTGGCTGGGGCCCTTGTGGGGAAGGAGTTGGAAAGCTGGCTGCCTTGTGAATGGGCGGTAGTCCTTGAGCTGACTTTCTGGCTTGTTAGAAAAACGTTTCCTCCCAAAGTCGCCTGAGCCAGCATCGGTTCTTACTAACCCAGGAGGTTCTCACGTCCCTGCAGCAGTTGAAGCAGCCCAGGAACATTCCACAGAACATGCGCTCTCCCTTCACACTTTGCTGCGTGGCTCCTGAGTGGTGCCAGTGAGCAACGATTGTCCTTCCCAGAGAGCTCTCAGCATGAAATGATCTCATCTCCCTTGCGAGGAGTGGACTGCACTGCACTATCAAAGCCCAGCACTGCAGAGTCCCGCAGAGTTTTGCAAGGGGACGAAGTCTGTTGCGCACTGGGCTGTCGGGGGTTGGGGAAGGAGGAAGAATGAAAGGAGACTCGTTTCCAAAGCTGATGCTCAATGCCTTTAATGAGAAAAGGAGAAGAACAAGCGACAGCTGAGAGTTTCAGCAATGCCCTTTGGACATTCTCAGTAAAGCTCAGTGATAGCAGAAGACCAGGGATAGTCAGCAGGGGAAAGAGGGCGGGCGATGAGGAGGAGAAGTTGGTGGGAACTCGGCTCCTCTGCAGACCGTGGCCATGCCCTCAGGGCTGGCTCCAGGGCTGCCTTCAAGGCCCGTGGTGCTCATGCACAGGCAGGTGATCCACGGGCTTTAGCAGAAGAGATTGCCACGTCCCAGAGTCCCACAGAGCCCACGGCCCAGCCCTGACCACCCAAAGCCCCCCAGGCCCAGGGAGCCCCCAGCGCCGATGGGCACACTGCCGGCGCTGAGAGAGCTCCCCACGGCAGCGGACGCTGTGGATCCCACGGCTGTGCTCTGAGGGAAGGAGCTGAGGATTGGGCCCGGCAGCGTCACCACGACCGGTGGGGGCTGGATCGCAACGCTGGAGTCGGCACAACGAAGAACACACGGCTCGTTGCAGCTGTTGGCAAGCGGGGCTGGGCCGCAGGCGGCTGTCTGGCACGGGCTGTAGCACGACATGTCTGGCGGAGGAGGGGGTGACTCTGCAAGATGGAGGCGAGAGAGAGCTGAGGGCTCGAGCTGTCTCTCAGCGTGCTCTGGTGTCACGAGCCAAGAGTTGAAGGCCCTGCCGTGGCTGCTGAGGGTCTGTTTGTGAGTATTTGGGTAGGCTTGGGGTGGGTACTTGTGGGTAGTTTAGGGATGATGCCAGGGAGGGAAGCTCCGCCTGTCACCTGGGTGAAGCTCCTGTGCGGCCTGTCTTGTCCCTCCCCCAGCGTGCCCAGTGCAGGCCCTCTCCAACCCGCGCTTGCTCCCTGACCAAGGGTCCGTGTCCAGCCTGCAAGGACGTTTCCCTCACAACGCACAACCATCATTCTAGTCAGCCTCGAAGGCTGGCCTGGAACGTTCAGCTGTGAGATGAGGCTCCTCATCTCACCACATCCTGAGGTAGGTATGACGAAGAGGATGCCAACTCTTTCAGGGGGGATGAGTTTATCCTTGCTGCTATTGCCTCAGTCGGGGAAAGAAAGATGTTCTACGGTACAACAGAAAAGCATCACTCTCAGCATCAATCTGTGGAGGTCCTGCTCGGGAGCCCTTCTTCCCTGCTGGTGGTTACTTGTTCTTCCAGAGGAAGACCTCAGCTTGTTCCCTCAACAGCTTTTCCCTCTAAAAAGAGCTCTCCTTCTCCTCTGACAGCTCCGCCCTTCTGTCCCCCTCACTCCCCCTGCTTCTTTCAGAAGGAGACAAGTGCGGGCAAAGCGCGACAAGGCTACTGAAGACAGACGCCACCAAGTGCTAAGACGTCTCTGGTGGGACTAGCTCTCCTGAGGAAATTCCAAGCCGTGCTACTAAGGCAAAAGGTGCATCGCTGCCTGAAGGATGGTGGAAGAAGAGGCTGGCCGAGGCTCTGGTTAGAAATTTCTGGCCGCACAGCCAGGGCCTGAAACGGCTTTCAAAGGAACCCTCCAACGCCCCGCTTCAGGTGAAAAAGCCACGCTCCCCAGTTCCCTTCCCCAAATACAGACAGGCATGGTTGACAGTCCCAGACCGCTTGCGGAGGACAAGGCAGGAAAAATGCACACAGCCCCCTCCTTGGGAGGCGTTCTGACCACGAGCAGACAGAAGGCAAAGCGAACGCGGACTTACTGGCTTCACAGAGGAGAGCAAGGCCCAAGCAGGGAATAGAGTAGCTGGGAAACGAGGCACCTATTTATACTGAGCCTGATGGCCCCGAGGGAGCTGAAGTGGCAAAAACACAGAGCGCCTTCAGAAAGGGTAATTTTGGCTTCCCAAGCTCTGCTGGTAGATGAAAGACATTCCTCCTTCACCTGAAATGCTTAGCTCCCTTGTCACGCTGCGTAAGGCTGAAGCGATCTGCTTGATAGCAGTTCTGTTTCTTCCTCAGGCCGATGCTCGTGAGAGGTCTCGTTGCCAGTGCTGGTGAAGACTTGCAGAAGAATCAGGCCGTGCGCAGGTGCGGTACACGTCCTCCCCTTCCCGAAGGGCGTGGCCCCCGCTTGGTAGGACTTTGCGCGTGGAGCACTGCAGAAGGGAACGCACAAGCAAGTGCAAGACGCAGTGATGGGCTGGGCCTGACCCTGAGCAAGAGCGGTGCCGGCAGGCTACGGAGGAGCTCAGAGCACAGGCAAGCGTCTGCAGGAGACTCAGCTGCCCGGCCGAGGGTGGAAGGTGATGTTCAGCCCAGGCCCCTAGTGATCTGGAGAGAAACTTCATGGCGCGTATGCAGGGAGGGAGACATCGAGAGCGTAGCTGGGGTGGGTCAGGCCGCTCCATGGCGAGTCGCTGCTCCCCCCGGCCGTGATGACGCACACGCTTTCCTGACCTGCAAAGGCTTCCAGCTGTTTCCTTTATTCGGGCAAGGTCAGAGTGTTTTCTGTGGGCAGGGCACGGGCTGTGCCTTACCAAACTGGATTTACTCATTTCACGCCTGGGGAGAGGCTGGAGCACCAGGAGGCCGTGATGAAGGAGGGAGGGAGGCTGCTGAGTCATGCCTGGAAGTGGGCCACCACCAAGTGGGTCTGCTTCAGCATTCCCTTGCCAGGCCACATCGGCCTGTGGCCCTTTCCCTAGTTGCTTGTTTTTCCAGCCGTGCACCCAGAGAACCTGGCTTCCTCTCTCTTGGCAGGGGACAGAGAGGCGCAGGTAGTGCCTTGTAATTGCAAGGTGGCCCTAGCAGGCCACCTGCGACTGACCAGGAGGTGCTGAGCCACTGTTAGGAGCTTCTGCTCCACCTCACTCTCAGTCATCCTTCCACACGTTGGCGTCAGGGATACTGAGGGAAAAGAACTGAGACATGCTAAGGGCTCTCGGCACAACCTCACGTCCTCGTTCCTGCAGAAATGCAGCTTTTTGCACCGTGTTGTCACAGCCATTGGCATCTTGCCCGACCACTTGGCAGTGCCTTGAAATGCTCTCATGCTCCTCTTGGTGAAAGAACAGTCAAAGGAGGACGGCAGCAACGGGCCCTGATGCCCGTACTCCTGTCTCCCTCAGAATGTTTAGGCAGGGAGGTGGTTTGAGAGTAGTTGACTTCTGTTGCCATGGTGGGTTGCTCTCCTTCCAAGCAAGTCTTCCCCCTGTATCAGTACCCAACGCTTTGCTGAAGTCCGGCTAAACAACCTCCACAGCCTTTTCCTCGCCCACCCTGCTGGCCTTCTAGGATAGCTGGAGGGAGCTCAGGTTAGTGAAGCAGGAGCTGCCGTGCGTAGAAAGGTGTGCTGACTGGGTGTGACCATTGTGTTGTCCTCGACGTGCCGTGTGATGGCACTCAAGACAATGTGCTCCGTGACCTTCCCTTGTACCAAAGTCAGACGGAAAGCGTGTAACTCATCAGAGAGTCATAGAATCACGTGAGTTGGAAGGGACCTTTTTAAGGGTCACCTAGTCCAAGTCCACTGCAATCAACAGGGACATCCAAAGCTCGATCGGGTGCTCAGAGCCCCGTCCAGCCTGACCTTTATCTGACATTCTTTTACCGTCAGTAGTACGTTTGTTCTCTCTCCTTATGTTCATTGGGTAGACTCTTCCGTCTGCTTCTTTGTGCCAGTTGGGCGGTCGATCACATAGTCCTGTCACAATTTCTGCCACGTTGGTCTTTTGCCTGACTCCTGCGCAGCGACGCTTGGCCCCTTTCATCACTAAGACAACTAAGTTGCATCCAGTCAAGCCGTCCTGTAACGCAGAGGGCTCCCTTGCCTCCTGTGCTTCCCTGCCTGTGTCTGCACTCCGGTCATGAAAGCCATCCCACCACGTCTCGCTGAGGCCTACGATCTCGTAGTCCTGAGCGTGGGCTAAAAATTCCCGTTCCCCCCTGCTTATTTCTCCTGACACGTGCATTTGTAGCCAGGCATTGAAGTTGGCCCCTGAATGAAATGGAGTGGTGTCGCTGCGGCCCAGCGATAGTTGCGGACGTCCATCTCAACACCAAAACCCACTGTTTCGCAGTGAGGGTGGACAAAGAATGGAAAGGATGGCCCCGAGAAGCTGTGGAGTTGTCATCCTCTGAGATACTGAAACCTGACTGCACTACGTCCCCACCGACCAGCTCAAGTGGATCTTGCTTCAGCAGGTGGCTCGGACTTGGCAAGTCTCAACAGGTTCCTTCCAACCTCCACAGTTCTGCTACTCCGTGTTACTTCTGCTACTCTTTCTGCTCTGCTTGGTTAATTTTTCTCCGGCGCAACACACGCACACACAGACACGCAAAACCGACAAACAAACAATCAACATCAACAAAAAAAGACAAAACGAAGCAATCCACAGGCCGTGGGGCTGGGACCAGAAGCACTTTCATGCGCGTCTCTCCCAGGCACCGTTCCTGTTCCAGCCTTGCTCTTGCCTTCTCAACCCATAGGCTTGTGATTGTCCTGGGAAGAGATGGATCACGACGTTACTCGGCTTCCCCCGCGAAAGAGAATTTGCTCCTTTCCAAGTAGCTCTGTCAAGCTCAGGCGTTTCTTCCTTGGACCAATTCTCCTCTTTGTGAAGGAGACGGTAAACGGACTCAGTGTCTTTCTCCCTCCCAAAACGGAGTGCGGGAGATAGCCTGCTTCACGCCTCCCGGCTTTCCGTGTGTGTCACGGGACAGCTGGCTGGGGCCCTTGTGGGGAAGGAGTTGGAAAGCTGGCTGCCTTGTGAATGGGCGGTAGTCCTTGAGCTGACTTTCTGGCTTGTTAGAAAAACGTTTCCTCCCAAAGTCGCCTGAGCCAGCATCGGTTCTTACTAACCCAGGAGGTTCTCACGTCCCTGCAGCAGTTGAAGCAGCCCAGGAACATTCCACAGAACATGCGCTCTCCCTTCACACTTTGCTGCGTGGCTCCTGAGTGGTGCCAGTGAGCAACGATTGTCCTTCCCAGAGAGCTCTCAGCATGAAATGATCTCATCTCCCTTGCGAGGAGTGGACTGCACTGCACTATCAAAGCCCAGCACTGCAGAGTCCCGCAGAGTTTTGCAAGGGGACGAAGTCTGTTGCGCACTGGGCTGTCGGGGGTTGGGGAAGGAGGAAGAATGAAAGGAGACTCGTTTCCAAAGCTGATGCTCAATGCCTTTAATGAGAAAAGGAGAAGAACAAGCGACAGCTGAGAGTTTCAGCAATGCCCTTTGGACATTCTCAGTAAAGCTCAGTGATAGCAGAAGACCAGGGATAGTCAGCAGGGGAAAGAGGGCGGGCGATGAGGAGGAGAAGTTGGTGGGAACTCGGCTCCTCTGCAGACCGTGGCCATGCCCTCAGGGCTGGCTCCAGGGCTGCCTTCAAGGCCCGTGGTGCTCATGCACAGGCAGGTGATCCACGGGCTTTAGCAGAAGAGATTGCCACGTCCCAGAGTCCCACAGAGCCCACGGCCCAGCCCTGACCACCCAAAGCCCCCCAGGCCCAGGGAGCCCCCAGCGCCGATGGGCACACTGCCGGCGCTGAGAGAGCTCCCCACGGCAGCGGACGCTGTGGATCCCACGGCTGTGCTCTGAGGGAAGGAGCTGAGGATTGGGCCCGGCAGCGTCACCACGACCGGTGGGGGCTGGATCGCAACGCTGGAGTCGGCACAACGAAGAACACACGGCTCGTTGCAGCTGTTGGCAAGCGGGGCTGGGCCGCAGGCGGCTGTCTGGCAC